GTACATAACCATTCTGTAGATTCCTTAAGTTTACAGCATATTGATTGGGAAGATGGCATTTGATTTGCCACAGGCACTTGAAGGTGTTTCTTTGGCCTATGCACAGGAATGGAAGAAAGATTTATCTACCTTTATATGACTTATCTAACTTATCTATACTACTTCTTCAAAAACTTTTTATTAGTTGTGTCTTTTTTAAAATATATATTTTTATTGATTTCAGAGAGGAAGGGAGAGAGAGAGAGAGAGAGAGAGAGAGAGAGAGAGAGAAACATCAGTGATGAGAGAGAATCATTGATAGCTGCCTCCTGCATACCCACGCTAGGGATCAAGCCTGCAACCCGACATATGCCCTGACCGGGAATCTAACCGTGACCTTTTGGTTCATAGGTCGACACTCAACCACTGAGCCATGCCGGCCAGGCTTAATTGTGTCTTTTAACCACGCCCCTCCCTCCCCACTACATTCAGGGAATTGTGGACCAATTTATCCTATTGGATAATTCAAGACAATGTCCACTCACAGTGCTTTTATAGGAAAAATGTCACATTGCAATCGATTCATTTTTTAAATGTGTAATCACATTCTATTAAATCATAATCAAATGCTAGCATATTTTGTAAGCTATGTGTGTACTCAGTATGTGGTTTTAAAATATTCAGTTCTGAAAATGAGCTCCTTGAAATACAATAGACACTCACATGCTGAAGTTCTCCATGAGCAAAGACTATTTGAACACACATTTGACCTTTCTAAGTAATTTCTTGGAAATTCTATATTACCACTGTTACAAGAGTGAAGGGCCCTATTAATATAATTTTATGGCAATTCTTGAAAAAGCATGTCCTGGGTAAATTTTACTTCATACCTATTGTACATTGCAATAGATATGCTGCATTTTACAATGAAGATGATATTTTGAAATTTAACATAGTTTTACAAATACTGGAAAGGACCTATAAACTTCAGTCAATGGAGATCAGTTAGATCAATTATGCTTAATAAGTATGTACATTATATGAGAAAGAATGCTTATCTCCTATTTATAAGCTAAAGAACTATAAAGTTTAAATAAACAATTTTTGCCAATGTTGATGACTAAATTATTGCTCTTTGACTCAAATGACACTTAAGTGATGCTACTGGTTTCATTTTTAGGACAGTGTTAATGTTCTTTATTGTTTTCAATATGAATACACATAGTTACTATGGAGATAACTGGAATTGAATCATCACTAATAAATTACCTTATTCATTATTATGTTGCAAATGAATGCAGCTCATTACATGGCTGAAATCAACATTTTTTCCCCAGACAAACAAAAAATTGCTGTTTTTCTTGTTGCTTTTTCAATACCCGATTCACGTATTAAATGTGTGTGTGTGTACTTAGTGGATTTTCTAGTGAAATAAATTTTTGGTAAAAGGGCTTTTTTTAATTGTAGGGAATCTTATGTGTTCCTGGGAAGGTTTCTTGTATGATGTTATGACATGTTTTGGATTTGGTGTGGACACATTACAAGAAAAAAATCATCCATGCTTTGATATGTCAGTGGAATCTACTGCTGAAATTTGGTACTTTTGCCCTTATCTTTCTTATGAGTTTATCAGTGGGCAAGTGATATAGTCTGTGACAAGATAAAGCGTTAGATTCTTAGAATCGATTTATAATAGATAACCCTTACTTTGTGGGATGTCTTATCATAGCTACTTAGGATACTGTGATTTTTAAACTGATTTCCTCCCCAATTTAAAAAAAGTTGATACCGTGTTCTCACTTCACCTGCTCAACCTGGTCTTTTTCCTGAAACAGTGCCTAGCCTCAGATAGTACATTGTTAGTTCATTGTTTTTACAAGTAGGGCTGACAAGCTGACATTATTACAGTTGCCCTTAATTTTAGCCAAGATTTTTCAAACAAATTTGTCTCCCACTTTTTGCAATTACAATTTCTATTTATAATTATTTTTAAAAACTGGTTCCAGGACCCTCGTGGGTACCAAAATCTATGGATGCTCAAGTCCCCTCTATAAAATGGCGTACTATTTGCATATGACCTATGCACATCATCCCTGTGTACTTTAAATCCTCTCTAGATTACTTCTCATGCAATGTAAATGCTATGTTAATAGTTGTATTGTTTAGGGAATAATAAGAAAAAAAAGTCTGTACATGTTCAGTACAGATGTAATCATCCTAGGCCTAACTACTTTGTACGTGACAGCAACGTGTAACTCCCTCCCCCCACCCCAATATTTTTTATCTTTGATTGGTTGAATCCCCAGATGCAGAGCCTGCAGATACTATGGGCCGAATATACAGTGGGGCCTTGACTTGCGAGTGTCCCGACTAACGAGTTTTTTAAGATGCCAGCTGTCTCTCGGCTGATTTTTTGCATTGAGTTGATAGAGTAATTTGAGTTAACGAGCTCCTTAACGAGCTCGGTCTCAGAATGAATTAAACTCGTAAGTCAAGGCCCCACTGTACAGCAATTTGGTTTTTGAAGGATGGGCAGTGGCATTGCTCATTGTATTAGTTCATTGCTGTATTACGAATACCCCTAAATATAATGGCTTAAAACAAACATGTATTGTCCCACAGCTTCTGGAGTCCTAGGACAGCTTAGTGAGATGTTTCTAACTCGGGTCTCATAAAGTTGTAATCAAGCTTTCAGCTGTGGCTGCATCGTTTGACACCTTGACTGGGGCTGGAAGATCCGTTCCCCAAAAGGCTCATTCACTCAGCTGTAGGCTGGAAGTCTCAGTTTCTTGCCATGCAGGCCACTCCCAGGGCCACCTAAG